AATGAAGTATAACTGAATTTTTACTAATGAATTAATCCATGATATTATAGCATCATCATACCGTGGTTTTTTTGGTCATGATACTCACACAATGGGAGCTTCATGTTGTCCCATCCCTAGATTAAAACATTAAAATGAGCCATTCACATTGGAAGTCACTTCCTCTACACAGCCAACTCCTTTTGTCAAGCATTATCTCTGCCAATATAGACATGTTCTACCTAGTTTTAAATATCTGAATATTCTCCAGTTATTTGTTGTGAATTAACACCATCACATCTATTATTAATGAATGTAAAAATCTGCAAAAGACATGTTTGGGTGGGTTGGCAAGTGGCAGTGCAGAATCACAAAAAAGGTAAATAGCATCTGTTCCAGAAAATCCAATCCAAACGTTCCCTACTGATTACAATTTACACATACTAATAGAACCTAAACACAAAAGCCTGCACCAGAAATACTACAGGTTTACAACTAATCAAACATCGGCCCAATAATGGCTAGAACAAGGAAATGTATAAATGCACCCTTAAAATCAATGTTGTTGTCTAAGTCAGTGTGTGTCGTTAATCATTCATTTACATCCATGAAAACAAGACTGAACCTGATGTAAAACAAGAAAGTCTTTAACAATAGAATATATTTAGTCAAGACTAAGGGTCAACCAATATCAATATATTGGTGTTAACCAATTATTTGACTTTTTTTGTTGTTTCCGACTTTCAATTTACTGTTGGTATTATTATTAGCCTAGTCCAGTCGAAGGATCTATTGCACCGCAGTTTTGAAACACAGACCCTCCACTCGGAATTTGCAATTTTTTCACGCAAAACAGCAGCACATTGTGTAGAAAATATTTATTGTTTGTCAACAATAGTGTCCTATTTTGTCTTATTTTTGTATTTATTTGGCCTTGACATATGAAAATTTACAGTTTTTTTATTCAGTAGAGCTCACCACATAAAAATAAAGTTTGAGCCTCTTTCAAAATGAATTCAACTGTTGGTGCAGCTCATCCCTTTAACTATTCTTTCTAAATCCTAGTGGGAGCAGCCTGCAGCTATTGGGCAGCTTTCCCAGTGCCAGCCTCACACCTGCCGCTGGCAAAAACAGAATAACTGTGCAAAAGTCTCCTCGCTGGCTCCCTCTTTCTTTCCTCTTAGTTTCCTCTTTTGCTTCTTTTGGCTTTTTAATTAAACAGAGGCAAAGACCTGCCACTAATTACACAGCCACTGACTCTCTCTCCCCTATGTCTGCATTCACTGTCCTCGCTCGTCCATCCTCACTCTGAGCTGGATGACAGCCAACAGTCTGTGGAATCACTTACCGGCTAACACAACAGGGAACCGCAGCTACACTGGTAGAAATCATTGAGATGCTTGTGCCTGGTGCCTTTTCTGCAGGTGAAATGCACACAGGTCCAAACAGGGCATCCTCCTGCGCATTCTCTAAGTGCGTCTAAACGCGTTCCTTCAGAGAGAAAGCACAAACAAAAGCATATTGAAACAAACAAAGTTCTCTCTTGATTGATTCACTTACACCTTTTCCACATTCAAGGAAGTTCAAATACAACATTAATATTTCTGGACCATTAACTATGGATGCTTTGTACTTTGACTTGAATGTAGTATTAGAATCCTATAGAGGTCACCTTTTCTTTATATTTCTCTCAACACATTTTTTCACTATTGATATTATTTTTCTATTCTCAATGATAAAATAATAATCCTATAGTGCAAAATGTGTGGTTTAAGCCATTCTTGACGTCTTTAATAACATGCTTCACTTATGTGCTAAACGAAAGGCTATTTTTGCCTTTTCACTATGACATAACCCACGGGAGGTGAGATTGTGAGAGAGGGGGCTTCCATCAGGTAGCCACCATCTTACCCCAACACAAGCTGGGAGACGTCATTGAGGAGTAGGTCAACAGGGAATTTCACACAATAATAGGGACAGAAGATAAAGAAAATATACCCTCAGAGTTTGCCTGGCATAGAAATCCAGATTGACACTGAATATTGAAGAAGTTACGAGATTAATATGTGCAATTACAGATTTAGTGACACTAATCGAAATGAGTAAGCTCATACAATTAGTATTTCTGTCAAAACAAACTAGCTATAGAATTGTTTTGTAGGATTCTTTCAATAAGCCTTTTATGCTTCCTCCTATCTGCCTTGAAGATGCTTGGACACAGCTCAGTATAGACATGAAATATAACACACAGTACACGCCTTCCATTCATCATCTGTGTTTCTTCTTAATGAGCACATTCTTATACAGTACAAGCCCGTACTTCAAGACACACTGTAATTTGACAACGGCTTGTCCAATCCATCACACAGACAACAGGCATACATTCTCTCCATCACCTGACGCTGCAATGTCACTACTGCCTCTAAATTACTCCAAACAGCTACATCAAGAGAAGCTGGTCAGGTGTTTGGATCTGGAATTATGAAGAGGTAAATAAAGAAGCGCTGGACAGCCGGGGTGGGCGGGACACATGGACAACCCCCTCTGCAGCAATCAAGCCTCTGTCACCATCTGGACGCCATTTTAAAACCATCAGCTCTGGCTCCCCGTGTAAACAAGACCACGACCCCAAACATGCTCCCCTTTTACTAAATGGGTTCGTTCTGGCAGCTGCAGGACCCAAAATGGCTGACATTGGGAGAGGAGTAAGGGGACAAGATCCAGAATAGACACTGAGGGTTGTATTGTGAACAAATGTTTGAATGTCCTTGGATTAATCATAATTATAGATTCAGAAAGAGTAATAAAGACACAAGGCAACTACATACAACTGTAGATAAAACACGATACAATGAGTGTTAACAAAACCTCCCCTTTCACTCTAACATTAAAGTCAAAAATATAAGAATACTTTGAAAATCTATTTAGAAAAGGAATACTAAACACCTGCTTTGAAGTGTATTTGTAACGAATTTCGTACAAGATCCAATCAGAGTACTGCATTCTGGAAACAGGGAAGGCTTTTACGCTCTTTTAAAGCAATTCTTAAAACACTTTTCGGCGTTTTAAACGTTGTTGTTTTTTACTGTTCCATTCTGTCTTTGTTTTGTCTTTTTTCCTCTGTCTGCTTTGTCTTCCTGTATCTACTGTTAATTATTTTGACGTATTATTATGTTTTTATTGATTATTATGCTGACTGTGCAGCGCTTTGTAAACACTGTTTTTGAAAAGGGAAAAGATTTATAATTGTTATTATTATATAATTATTATGGTAAAAATAGCGTAGGATGAACTTTTTTTGCAGATTGCTAAACAATTTCTATTGTTGTTGACTGAAAACTAATAAAACACATTCGCCTGCAGCACTTAAGGCAACGTTTACATTCATTGTTATTGTCCATCCAAAATTGCTTTTTGAAACGTAACTGCATTCTGAATACCACCAAAAGAAGATGTAATGTGCTATGAATACAGTCACTCAAAAATAGTATTCTCAATATGTATTTCCACATTCCGTATTGTTATGTTACAGATTTCTTTCTTAATCCTAGTTATCGTGAGTATCGCCACAAACCTGACTTGTACTTAAACTAAGAGTGTCTTCTCTCGCTTGTTTCTATTGATTGTTGCTTAAGCTATAAACTTTCACAGTGACAGATTCAACTCATCTAATAAAATGTCTCTTATCCTTTCAGAGTGAATTATAACTGATTCTCTGTGGTAAGACAACCGGCCTGAAAATGTCTCATTTTAAATCTATTAATAGGCAAAAAGTTGACTTTGTGTTTTAACATATTCACTAAAAACTTTCATGATTTCGAATGGATCACAACTTCTATCTCGCGGGAGACATTATGTCAAAAGAGCTTCTGGGATGGGTCAGTGATACAAACATGAATAAAAGTCGTGTGTGTGTGTGTGTGTGTGTGTGTGTGTGTGTGTGTGTGTGTGTGTGTGTGTGTGTGTGTGTGTGTGTGTGTGTGTGTGTGTGTGTGTGTGTGTGTGTGTGTGTGTGTGTGTGTGTGTGTGTGTGTGTGTGTGTGTGTGTGTGTGTGTGTGTGTGTGTGTGTGTGTGTGCATATGTGTCCTGGGGGAGGTTTGGGTCTGAACATGTGAAACAGAAACAGTAGAAGATCAGATGAAAAGTTTAGCTGCACACACAGGCACAGTGGTGAGGTAATGACATGGAAATGATATGGTAATGATATGCTAATCTGGCAACATTATTCTGCCCACCCGAGACCCAGAGCGAGGGGAACTGCCACAAAACACATGAACAACAGGGCACAGAGCAGAGGTGAGGTCTGTGGAGCAACACGGCTGAAAAGAGTTACAGTCAAATAATGCTGTTGGCTTTTGCATCTGATCCAGTTTATATGAATGTATAGAAAATGTCATGGCAAATTATGACCCTAATTTTGTCTTTGCAATTATTACTACACTTTAAACATAATAATCTTATGGGTTATACTTTCAGGACAAAATGCCACTGTCCAAGATTTTGAAAAGTTTACTGAGGTTTTTCACCATTATCAGACCTTTGCCTCCATACCAGTGAATCAAGTCAAGTGAATGCAGCAGTGCCACCCCCTGGACAAACCTCTTCAACACAAAACTTTGCTACCTAATTGGTAGTAAATATTCAATAGCCCATAGTTCAAGAAGATGGAGTGCACTGAGCAGGAGAACCTAAGGATAAATATGCTGTTACCTTGTGATTGACTGTGTTCCAAACAAACCTCTCTAAGACAAAACAAAAGTCAAAAAGACAGAATGTACAGAATGTACAGAACATACTGTAAAGGGTTTGTGGTCATAGCTCAGGGAATTATTAATATATGAGTGAAACTGACCCAAAGCAAAACTGTGTCTGTTTGAATCCCATATGTATTCTTAAATCCCATATGTATGGAGCATTACTGATTTTCTTCTCTCCTTCCTCCCTGATGTGCTCACTACTTGTCAGTGTTTCCCTAGCTCCTTGCTTTTAAGTGGCTGTGATTGACAGGTGGGCTATATCCATGCAATATCACCCAGCGCACGTTCCTATTCCCTCCTGGAGCCTTCATCCGCCGGTCAAATTAACCTTCGGTGCCGACGGGAGGGGGCCTGTGTGGGCCAATCAGCAGGTGATTAGGCCGGGGGTGGGAGGGGTGAGGGGTCACTGCGATGGGGCCATCGTAAGCCTGATTGGTTTCAATCAGCGGCCAGCCACCAGGACAGCTGGGAGCTGAGCCGCAGCCAGCACTAATCAACGCATCCCACAGTGAGGCATGAACAGTCGACACACACAACACACTGTGTACACAACACTGAGGGGACACAGCACGACAGGAAGCCAAATGAACAGTCTAACCGCAACAGATAAACACCAATCTATCATGGAGAAGCAGAGGAAAAAGCAGCAGTGGTTCAAAGCCACATTATACAGAACAGGCAAGGGATAATGAATCTTCGGAACAACAGATGGATATGAACATATTTGCTATAATATTAATATTGTATGCGATTATATTTACATTGTATGTGTTTATTGCACTGTCCCGATGAAATAAATAAACACAAGTATTGCCCTAGACGTATTAATTTGATCACCGGCACATCTGATAAGTCCCTTGACATTGACATCCTGTGGGCTAAACTACAACAACATACCTATGTATGTATGATGTGATGTGATGTAATGTGGAACGATGCGGATAATCATTGCTATGTCAGATGTCATGCAGATATAAAACTGCTGGAAACCTCTATTGGTTGGAGAGGAACTAATCGCTGATCATATGAGGAGTCACACAGTAACATCATGGAGTTTTTTGTGTAATGACTAGAATGCAGATAAGACATTTACTTTTGTAGGTTGGAGTTTGAACTGCCAATAAATGTTTTAAAGCCAATCCTCATTCTCATATAGCCTGTATACTTGCGCTACTGTACATCATATAATCTTTACACAAAGAAACTAAAAACTGGCTATAAATGTATAAATTTAATTGAACATATACAGCAAGGTGACATTTCTAGATGTACTAACACAAGTTTGACTTTGTAGACCTATTGTAAAAACCTACTGGACATTCGATAACTTATGCACACTGCAACAATGATGCAATGTTAGTAGAGATTTGGGGGGAGCTTTTTGTGCACTTGTCAGACTCAAAGGACAAAACTGAACACTGAACCAGGAGAAGGCTTGAGAAGCAATTTGAATCCTACCTGATGGTGAGAGATGTACTTCAGTGTTGTTATCTATGAACTACTCGCCATCTCTCCAAAGGATGACATCCGGACGACATTACAGAAAGCCATTGTCAACCTGAAAGACAGACAATGTTTAGTCATCATGTTTTACCGAACAAAGACCGATCCCTATAATTATTATTTAGATGTTTTTATTGCACTGACAAAATCTTACAGTGAACAGGATCTTCACAAACCTGATTTGAACTTTATTATTTTAGAGTAGGCAGAAAACTGATCTCTAAACTTGCTAGTAGGACACTGTAACGCCTGCTCACTGGGATATTCAAATGATCTCGAATCTTGACTAGAACCAGGAAATACGATCACATTAGTCCAGTCCTCAGGTCTCTGCAATGGCTTCTTGTGGCTCATAGAATAGACTTTAAAGCAGCTACACTTGTGTACATGTCTCTCCATGGCCTTGCAACAAAGTAAATCCTGATATTTACTTGTTAGTAATGCATATGAACCAACACTCTGAGGAGCACAGGGACCAGAGGGTGGCAGCATTTCAAATTGTATTAAAATCTTCCTGAAAATGTGAGACAGATGTCTACTCTGAATGTTTAAATACAGGTAGAAAAGCGTTGTGTTTCGCTGTGAATCCAAGTGAGGGAGGATATTTTCCCTCTTTTTTATGTACTGGGAGCATTTATGATGATTGTTATGTCTTGTGTGATTGTTTCTATCTTGTTTTGAGTTGCCTTGAGTATGAAATGTGCTATTCAAATACCAATTTAAATGGTTTATGCAGCTGCCATTGAATCATGCAAATCACGTGCCACCTCCTAAAAGTTACCGCGTTGCAATAAGATTACGCAGTATATTATAATTACCATATCTGGACTGTAAATGGTTTACGTTAGCATTTAACAAAAAAGTGACCTATGTCTGGTCATGTAAACAGTTTAAAATCATGCACAAATACTTCCTTTTTTCTGTGATCTTGGAACAGAAGTGAGTTTTGTTGTTCCTGGATGATTCAGAGGTTGACGCCAAAGCGAAACATCTAAGCACGGGACTCAGGCACTGCGCATGCGTGGATCATGGCAGAACACAACAAAGTTCCTTGTTCGGTTCCTTAGAAAACAAGTCCATTTAAACTATAATTAGACTTCACTTTCACCCATCACACACGAGTAGACATCCAGGTAGGTTATATTTGCAAGTATTTTTCAGTGCAGTGTTTTATTCCGTTATTTTATACGCAGTCCAGAGTGGTAAACATGAAGTGTAGGTTTCGTTTGAGTTTTCGATAAGACTATTTTAATAATGACAGATAAATGCCCATAGCGAGACATACAGTGACAAGTTATATTTATTCTTTATTTATAGTTATTAGTTAGATTTATAGTCGAGTTCTGCTTAAATGAATCTATATACTGTCTATGACTCATGTTGAAGCGCACAGCTGTCAAACTAGTTTTCAGGGATAAGCCTCAACAACATAAGAAAAGTTATTTTACAAGTAGCATTTGTTTAGGGGTTAGATGTATTATGATATCGTCCTGAACACGTTTTGGATCAGGTTTTATCTGGTTATTTATTTTGATATATGCATACACTGAAAATATATATTATTCCATGTGATATTGGTCTTGTGATTTGCAAGGATCAAGGTCTGGGGTAGGACCACATACCACATTTTACCAAACCAAGATCAAACTTGGACCAATGGACTTTTGTGCCTGATAATATATTGCTTTGATGACAGCAAATGTTCTACTTTATTTCTCCATAAGCTCATATCCACATTTGTTGTCGTTGGTTCTGTCGAGACGTATGTATTAGACAATTATGCAATTTTAGATAATTATACAATTTGTCGGCACATGTTCATGCCACTGCTGTTTCCTTTAGCGTGCATTTTTCTGTGGTTTCCATGACATTGATCAGATTGTCACACATTCTTCTTCCTCTTCTGTGTGGTTTCACAAGTTTTTTCTTTGGAGCCATTCAGTTGCAAAAGTCATGTCTATAATTGGCATAGAAGTGCTTTGGATTTTGGGTGTTGGACAAAGATAATTTATCAAATAACAAACCAGGAAAAATTAACTTGCGTTTTATTTCTAATTTCCACAGAGGGCGGACCATGACGTCTGAATGGTGGCCCCTTTCAAATGGCAGCTTTGGCAACTACACTGGATGTTTCAACTCCAACCAGAGCAGTGTTCTGTACGGAAACAACTTTGGAGGAATTCCAATTGTACTTTTTATAGACTTCTGTGTCTTTTTGGTATGCACATCTTTGTCTTCTATTTTTTACAATTATAACTATCTTAAGGTAAATTATGTGTCTTCTCTTGCAGTTCCTTTTGATCCTTTTCTCTTTTATACGTAAAAAATTCTGGGACTTTGGGCGTTTAGCGTTGGTTGCTGAAAATGAAGAGTACGTTAAAGAATTCCAATCCAGACTGAGTTGGTTTTTGATCAAATATCTAATATACTTTTTTAAAATGATAGGTTTACTGAATATGGACATCGCAACTACGGTCGCATGTCATCCTTTATGTCAAGCACAGATGAACACGACCATGAATTGGTATGTAAAGATAATATTGTAGTAGTAGTAGTAGTAGTATGTCTAATAGTAGTAGTAGTAGTAGTATGTCTAATAGTAGTAGTAGTATTAGTATGTCTAATTCTTGTGATTGTGTTTCTTGTTTAGGGCTTTTGCTCCTGGGTGCCTTACATTGTCAGAATGGAGTGAGTCTCTGCTTTTATATTGTCTCTCACATTTCCATAATTTTGTCTGTCTAAAAATGCATTACTTCTCAACCAAACTGCAGGGACGAAAAAATTAAAGACAGATGTGGCGTAGATGCGACAAATTACCTCTCCTTTCAACGCAATCTGATCTTGTTACTTACTATCATGACTATCACCTCCCTTGGGATTATTTTGCCTGTGCACTTGTCTGGGGACCTTTTAGGTAAGATAAACATACATAAACTAATATCTATCTAATGTAATATTAAATTGTCCATAGGGCTGAGCTTAACAAGTATGAATATAGAGGAACCCCTCAAAAAACTCATTGCTCGACTGGGACTAGAAAAATAAGTAGTTGTAAATTGCTACATTTACTTTGTTTGGTACTAGCCTGGAGAGCCAGAGACACAAGTTTCCTATGTAGAATAATAATAATGATTTTAATACATTGGTTTTATACAATGCTTTTTTTAAGACGCTTCACAAAAGACAAATAGACATGGAGATCTCGGTGGTCATAACAAATATTCAAACAAGAACTTTGAAGGCTAAAGTTGAGAAGGGTTCCATGTGCAGGTGAACACGGGTCAGTTGGTTCAATTGGATATAATAATTGATAATGCAGAAAAAAAACTTACTACTTAAAACCAGCTTTCCTTCAAGTACCCAGCCCTAATGGACTTTTTTGATGTCTATTTTCTAGTCTGTATTATGATGATAATTTGCGTTTGAACACAGAAAACAACCCTCTAAATTTTGGAAGGACCACCATAGGCAACCTGCAAAGGGGGTAAGTTCTACGCACAGCATCACATACATTGCGTCTTGTTTTTATATTCCTCTATGAAATGTGATTGGTCAATGTTTTCATATTTTTATACCTCCACAGGAACAAGCTGCTATGGCTCCACACAGTCTTCGCAGTGCTTTACTTGATTCTGACGGTTGTTTTTCTACGACGGCATACTTCACAGATGAAAGACACGCGGAAAGAAATAGTAATCTTCTAATACACTGTGACTCACTCAGACCTTGCAATTTCACCAGCGGCAGAAAGACACATATCCTTTTTTTGGCATTTTTTCCTTTGAATTTGTGATTCAGACTCACAAGCTAGGTTTAAGATAATGACTTTATTCATCACACAACGGAGAAATGTACATGTCACATTTGGCATAGAATCACTCAGATTGTGCAAAAAGACAGAAGTGTGAAACATGTTAAGGTTAAAAATATAGTCTGTGCAGGATATAAATATGTAGGGTAAAGAGCTTGCTGTGGAATGAAATGCCAAGATTTCAGAGAGTCCAATAAGACACAGCTGTTTGTACATCACCTTTTTTTTGTTTCATGAATATCTTGTGTTTGCCAGAAAGAGTCTTTTTAAGTACAATTATGTGAACAAACCAGACAACCATGCTCTTATTAGAATTTTTTTTTATCTTTGAGCTGTCAATGGAAGAGGGTCTAAGAACGGAGATGATACAGGACATTTAGCGACATCTATGGACAGTTAATAACATTTATGGACATTGATCATCTCGCCAATTGCTCCTATGTGTTTGTTATTATTGCATTTCCTTTGTGCAAACGGTTTGATTCTCAGATCTGTTGTTAGCATATTTTCAACTTTGTAAAGTCCCCCGAGACAACTGCTGTTTTTACATAGGGCTTTACAAAAATACATTGAATCGAACATACTGAGAGCTGATGGGGGCTCTCTTTTTCCACTGTCAAAGCTGATCCAAACATGTGACTGAAGCCAAAAATACATGCATGTGAAAACTAGTGAACTAGATTTGATTAACTAGTTTGTTTTATTTTCAAAATTCTCATCTCTAGCTTTAAATTAAACATTTGGAATTAAAATATACTGATATACAATAATACATACATTTTCTTTTCAGGCTAGAAATGCATTGTTTGTGACTTCAGTGCCAAAAACAGCCACAGAGGATGCAGTAAGGTCTCATTTTACGTAAGTATCTTTTAACAGCCCACTTCTTTCATGGTGAATGTAACCTTGTTGTCCGACGTCCTTGTTGTTTGATCATCGGCAGAGAGGCGTACCCGACCTGCCGCGTGTGTGATGTGACGCTGGGCTTTGATGTGTCCAAACTCATGCACCTTGATAAAGAGAGGTACGCTACCCTGTTATCTGTAAATATTTATCCATACGCTTCTGTTTTTGGTCTTTGCATTATCAATCAATCAATCAATCAAATTTTATTTATGAAGCGCTTTTCATACAAAAGATGCAACACAAAGTGCTTTACAGTTTGGTTAAAAACAATCCCGCCGGCCCATGTCCCCTCCCCCCGACCACCCAACAGACCCACCCCAAACCACAGACAAACACACACACGCTCCCATGCACACTCTCTGACACACACACACACAGGTACAGCCTGCAGCGATGTGGCTCAGGGCTGTCACAAGCTATCATTTAAGAAGTCGGGTTTCATTTCTATTTCAACTATTATTTCTACTGTCTTTTTTACAAATACAGCCTGTAATATAGCCACATCTTAAAATAATACAATTTGAAATATTTATATAATGCCTTTTTTGTCACAAATTGTGTTTTAGAGCCTTGTATAGTCCAATGAAAGATTACAATATAAACATTATAATTGTTGCAGTTCCAGATTTGTCACTTTTAGTATGACAATGCACGTTTATTTGTATAGTACAGTTCATATACAAGACAACTCAAAGTGCTTAACAAAACAAGAAACATTAAAGTCATAAATTATCACATTACATTAAAAATAGCACTGTTTTTACATTTTAGCTGCATGAATCTGAAATGTTTTCTCCCCATGTTTAAACCTGACTCTGAGCACCAGCAGGAGGCCAGTTCCTGTGCTTCTCAGAGTTCGAGCCAGTTCAAATGTCACGAACATGGCATTTGTATTCATCATTTTATGGCCACCTTACTGTACATTAATATAATACATTAGTATGATTTGGGACTTTTCCGTTTTCCTACATTTTTCCCACTTTTCATCCACTCTTCTGTCACACTGATCAATCTTACAGTCACACTACTATTCACATGCTTTTTTGTGCTGTCCCTTTCTATAATTATGGTTGGGTATCCACAATTCCCCTCCCCCACTAACAAATTAACTCTCTCTACCAACCCAATATAACCCCCCATAACAAAAAAAAAAAAACCCTACCTTCATTTCCATTCCCCCCCAATACCCCCCTCTCCCCACCCAAAACACCCCCCACCCCCCCCCCCACACAACACCACACCCACCCCCCCCCCCCCCAAACCCCACACACCCACACCCCCCCCATAACCCACAACACAAACCACCCCCACCCACACCCCACCCCACACCCCACAACCCAACAACAAACAACACCCACACCCCACCCCCACAAACACCTCAACCCCCCACCCACCCCCCAAAAAACTCCCCCCCCCCACAACCACCACCCCACCACACCCCCCACACACCCACCAACACACACCACCCACCCACCCCACCCCCACCCCCCCACCACCCCCCACCCCCCCCCACCCCACCCCCCAACCCCCACCCCACCCACCCCCCCCACCACACCCCAACCCCCCACACCAACACCCCCACCCACACCCCCCCCCACACCTCCCCCCCCCCCACCCCAACCACACCACCAACCACAACCCACACCCACACAAACACCCACACAAACACCCACCACACACCCCCACCCCCCCCCCCCCCTCCAACCCCCCCACCCACCCCCCACCCCCCCCCCCCACCCCCCCCCACCCCCACCCCCACCCCCTTCCCACCCCCCACACCCCCCCCAACCCCCCCCACCCCACCCCACCCCCCCACCCCACCCACCCCCCCCCCACACCCAACAACCCCCCCCACCCCCCCCCCACACCCACCCACCCCCCCCCCACCCACACCCCCCCCCACCCCCCCCCCACCCCCCCACCACATTCCAACCCCCCCCCCCCCACCACCCCCCCCCCAAACCAACACCCCCACCCCACCACCCCCACACCAACCAACCCCCCTCCCAACCACCACCCCACAACACCACCAAACAACCCCCCCCAACATTAAACCACCCACCCACCGACTCCTACCCCCCACCCACCCTCCCTACCCATTCCCAACCTTAAACATCCCCCCCCCCCCCCCCCCCCCCCCCATACATTACTCCCCCACACATACCAACACCACACCCCCCCTCCCCATACCAACCCACACCCACCCCTAACCCTACCCTCATACCCTCCCCTCCCCCCTCCACCCCCCCCCCCACCCCCCAGGGACAAATAATTCAAATCAAATGTTGAGATTTTTAGTGAATTAATGAATGAATTTTATTTAGATATGACACTATATGACACACATGGGTTTATACGACACTAATACGACAAAGGAAAGATGGTCCATCATTTCAGCTCTGGATACAGTGTTCTCTGTCTCAGTGTTCAGGCCTTCTCCACAAAAGTGACCAAACAAAACAATTCATTTTCAATTAACCAACATAACATTTTACCTTCAGACAGCCAAAACAAATCTGAATGATCTCAGACAAATTAGTTTTTAACTCATGATACAAAGGGCAGTAAAACAAAAAGTGAAAATTTTCTTCAACCACACATAAGACACAGTGCCTTTAAATTGTAAATAATTCTTTAGTTTGGGCTGATAACACTGATAATTTCCATCGATCCTTTTACATTTAGTCGTGCCTTGTGGCTCTCATTGGAAGAAGATCCAGATAATGTAGTCCTGGCCATTTCTAGCTCAAGATATGGAAATTGTTCTGGAGACTAACTAATTAATGTGATGGAGAATATACTGAGGATATAGGGAGGTCTGGGTGTCTCTGCTTAGACTGCAGCCCCCGCAACCCGGCAACAGAAGAAGCGTAAGAAAATGGATGGATAGATGGACGATATACTGTTGCCATAAACAATATGAAACAACTTTGTGCCACTGGTCAAATTACAATACAGCAGCATGGATCAAAAGCATGGTTCATGTGTCTATATCATTAACAGTCATACGCTGAAGCAAATAAACAGCAGAAGAAAGCTCAAGCTTTAGCTCAAATTGTATTGGATCATTAAAAAAACAGCAAATATATTCTCACTATCTTAAATACAATGTACATACGATACATTCTGAACCCCAAAATATATTGTTCCATCCCATATTGAACGATACATTGATCATAGACAAGAGACCATGTTTTCCTCCAGGGCTGCAATGCATAGTTCAAGAAAAGTAGAAATATAGGAAGGACTCAACAAGATAAAGAGCTGCTAAACACATTTGTAAATGAGTTTAGTTTTCAATATTGTGTTTTGAAAAAGTAACGTTCATGTGCACATCTTGTAGAATCCAGAAATGTGTAGTTGCTTTTTAGTGCAGAAATGTTGAAATGATTTTCTGCTGTGTCACGCCGTTCTGTTCCGACAGGGAAAATCTCTCTGTTCGGGGATTTCTCTGGTACCTGCGCTACATACCACTCAACGTTTTACTATTTATACTTTTGACCTTTCTCACAACTCCCACCATCATCATCAACACCATGGACAAGTTTAACGTCACCAAGCCCATTCGAGATCTTAATGTAAGACCGTAATAGAGTTTTTTCTACATAAAAATATACCACGTTTACAGATCATTATAAAAACACAGATAACACAGTAAAATAACAGATAACATATTTACAATAGAATGTGTTCAAAGAGGTTCGTTCTATCACTAGTTTTTACATGTTTTGGACTTTTTGGCCTCTATCACAGTTTTACATCAGTGTTTTCAGGCAGAAAAGTGAAGAAGAGAGGACCACCGCAGCCAATCAGCTCTCAGCCTATAGTGTCAAATAGTGACTCACAGCATATGCATAAGATAACAAAGATAAACACAGCATGTTGTGGACTTCACTGGGGCTAGAAAAATGTATTGATTATGAAAAGAAAGTTAGGTCACCCAGCTTTAAATTACAATATATTATGGATTAACTGGATACTTTTGTTGCTATATTGTCTTTTCAGAGTCCCATAATCACTCAGTTCTTCCCCACCCTCTTGCTGTGGACCTTCTCTGCTCTGCTGCCCACTGTAGTGTACTATTCCACTATAGGAGAGGCCCACTGGAGCAGGCATGGAAATCCTCAAGTTCTCTGTTTGTCGACGAGCAATTTTTAATGCTCATATTTTCTCTGTCTCTCTCTCCAGGTCCAGTGAGCAGTTGAGCATGATGAGGAAGCTCTATTTTTTCCTGCTTTTTATGGTGCTTATACTGCCATCACTTGGACTAACAAGGTACTTTTAGTCAAATATTAAAGCTGGGGTACCTTACTGTCTGACCATAAAAAGTAGTAAATGTTTGTTTAAGCCTTTTTCAAACAGAAAAGTGAATAAGAATCAGAATAATTTTTATTGACATTTTAAATAATAGGAAGTCACAAACTAGGAATTTGAGAATTTAAGAAGTTATAAAAGTAAAACAAAAAAGTAAGGCATGCATAGATTTTGATATTGATAAAATTTCTTAAAATAGCTATATTTGGACCACCCAAATATATATATATAATATAACGAAGATGAGACGAGAGACGACATGTTGTGGTCTGATATATCCACTATTTTACTTTTCAAGACCTTTTGTTTGAACAGACAGAATGTATTCAGAAATAATGCTTCCTGGACCTCAATCCCAGTAATGGAAGTAGAAAAGCGTGTCTTTGGTAACCGTATTGTCAATCTTTGAAAATACAAAAAACCAAGGTCTTCTCTTATATTAATATAATTGTTGTTTTAGTCTTTAATTTTTATCGTCAATACTATTTTACGGCATTAATTTGACTGTCCATTTATTTAGCAGATATTTTGGCTTTGTGATAAATATTAATCAGGAATATGTTCATGTTTTTTTCCAGCCTTGCTGTTTTCTTCAGATGGCTTTTTGATATAAATTTTCTTTCTGATGTGGGGCTCAATGGAAAATTAAGATTTGAGTAAGTTCATCTTCATCATAATAAAATAATCATCTTTTTTTTAACTTCACCTGAAAACTTCTTCACCAGATGCGTGTTCCTCCCAGACCAAGGAGCTTTCTTCGTTAATTACGTCATCACCGCGGGTCTGGTGGGCTCTGGAATGGAGCTGTTACGGTTACCAGGGTTACTGCTGTACACAATCCGTCTGATTTTTGCCCGTTCTGCCGCTGAAAGGAAATACGTGAAAGAGGTTTGTGTTCGTTTTTTATTTTAAATGTCGGAAGCGTCAAAGGCTTGAGACTTATTTTAATTGATAGTACTGTAAATTAAAGCTGGGGTACCCAACTTTTTTGTTTCATAAATAATACATGTTGTTTGTCCCAATAGGAAAAATCTCGTTAAAGTAAAAAATGGGAACAAATCAGATCACCACATGCTGTCTTCATCTTGTGGTTGTTATATACATACAACAAGTTTCTTTAATGATGTGAAGGAAGCAAGTGAAATCTAGGGATGGAACTAAACTGTTTTGACAGCAAAGAACTCGCTAATTGGATTTCATTACATAGTTAACTTTTTTTAATTGATAGTTTTGTAAATTAACTCTTGATAGAGTGCTTGAGTGTTGTGTGTTTTCAGAACCAAGCATATGAGTTTGAGTATGGGGCAATGTACGGCTGGAGCCTCTGCGTTTTCACTGTTATAATGGCCTACAGCATCATATGTCCTATTATTGTGCCTTTTGGTAAGAAGCTTCTCAATCACTACAAATAACTGGATATTTCTGACAGATTTACTTTTGCACAACCTTTTTACTAATACATGCTTTTCGTAGCGCTGTTAAAAATGTTCCCCAAAGGTTTTACAAGTTTTGAAATTCTGAATTTTGGCTACAACATAAGAATATGTATAGTTTTATTTATGGGAGAAAAATGACGGAATAAACAGTGTTAAGGAGAATGTTGTCCTGAATTACAATGTATTTTAAAGGTATTCTGTGAAATAGCTATTGAGTTCTTTAATAAGCATACAACAGCGAATTTTTTATCGCCACGGTCAAATAGAAAAATGGCACCACTAAAATTTGCGTTATGATAATGTGTTTTAATAATATCAGAATATACTTCTGCAATTGCATTATCAATTATCAATATTTTGAGAAGTAACAGTACTACCTAAAGAAACAGTTACTCAATAATAGCATTTTGAAGACATATTCTCCGTATGTGTTTTTGGTTACTCCCCAAAACTTACAATAAATAACTCAAATACACATAACTTAAATGTATTAAATGTCACGTTTTATGCTTGTAATTACCGCTTTAGATATTATTCAGTTGTGAGGGTTGCAAGATGACTTCCCATGCATTTTGTGGTCTTTGACAGTTTCTGCGACAGGTCTGAGTAACTTTTCTTTATTAACTTTTGAAATCTTGCAGGCCTTCTGTACATGTTGCTGAAGCACTTGGTGGACAAACACAACTTGTACTTTGCCTACCTCCCCGCCAGCCTGGACAAGAGGGTGCACGTGGGAGCTGTCAATCAGGCCATGGCAGCCCCCATCATCTGCCTCATTTGGCTCTACCTATTCTCTGTGCTCAGGACCGGTGGGAGAAGCGTTTTTATTTCACCATTTACGTCTGTGTGGATTTTCTATTCATGTTTTCTGTCTCATCTGTGTCTTTAAGGTTTTTTTGCGGATACGTCACTTTTCACTCTCGTTGTGCTGTGTTTCACCATCGGCATTTGTCTCAGCTACACCTGCTTTGGCGTTTTGAAGTACCTCAGTCCACACAACTATAAGGTGAGTTTAAACGTGACGCTTAACGAATGTAAGTTTGGTATGTACAATATGTTGTGTATAGAAAATCTGACAACCTGATCATAACAATGCCTTTAAATGATGTTGGAATGCAGGTCACAGAGGAGGACGATGATGCGGTGGAAGGAGTGGAAGACAAGACTATGGTAACGATAATAATCATTTTAATATAATTTAATTACATCACTTTTCTCTTGAATGCTTACATTTGTGATTGGGCTAAAAACCCTTATGTCTTATGAAAATATTAGCAGCTTGTTGTACTGTAGTTCATGTCCGAGCCGGTGCAAATATCCAAGGGTTTTTATTTATTATTTTGTTAGCAAGTGGACAGATGAGTAATAGCATAAAGTTTGAGAAATTCACATTTGTATGGTATATTACTGATAACCAGTGTAACTTTACTTTTTCATGTTTAATTTTTTTTTTCGCTTTTATGACAACAAAACTGACAAACACATCAACATTCAACAAGAACACAACATAAAATAAAAACACAAAGTACAACCCCAAACTGAACAAACATAACAAACACACAAATACTTTGATAATGACGCATGTTTTTACATTATAGATGCGTTTTTATTATCATGAACAAAGGGCATTTCATTAAACTAAAATGGGAAAGCGAGGAGCTGTAACCTCATCATTACATTAACACAGAGCTGTGCCACATCTAATCCTAACAGTTGTATCTTTTCTTTCCTAGGTTTACCTTCCCAGAGTGCTCAATACTAAATCTCCAGCCCAGCCCCAGCACGAGGGGGCATCTCCACATTTTTATGGCTCTACAGAGGACAGTCCTGCCTATGACACAAGCGCAGTGGAGGACAATGCTTCGGACACATGAGACCGAGAACTGTCTCCAACATGATTTTTTTTAATTATCAATGCACACATAGCCAATACTGTCATTAGGTTTGTATTGGGTTACAGGAAAGGTTCTGTTATTTTATGTGCAATGCCAATAGAAACCTGCCAAAGGAATCTGCCTTAAACACACTTTTATATCAATAGGTCTCATTTATTATTTTTGCTGGAGCTATTTGTAATGGGATAGAAATGGCATCCACAAACCAAGAATGGGTGGCATGAAATGATTGTGCCACTAGAGGGAGTGTTTGTCTTTGAAACATCACTTGACTCTAACTTTTATCTGTTAAAGTTATTCAGGCTCTGGAATATTTTACTGTGTAACATTTTCAGTAGCTCCACCCCCTCTCCTGATCTGTGCTGAGCCTTTTGTATCCGTCCTCTTGGTCACACCTCCTGCCGCTCACCACCACACAGTGCATACAGTTGTTAAATATGGCTAATGAAGTGATAAGTTTACTGCTATTGTTGAATTTGTATACATAACTATTGAGTGTAAGAGATCAGAGAACTTTACAAAACAGTAAAGACTCTCCTCATTATAGCATTATAGCTTTAAAGTATTTTATATTTATATAAAGTGGCTTTATACAAGATTTCAATGTTTACATTCACATACAGTAGTAGCACATTATTTAAATCCAAAATTGGTCAAGTGCAAATATCTAAAATCAGATAAACTTTCTTGCATAATGTCATGAGAATACAATGCCTTATTAGAACACAAGGAAAGGCAAGTTTATTTGTATTTAGCATAATTCATACACAAGGCTACTCAAAGTGCTGAACAAAACAAGATACAATCCAAATCATTAGTTGCAGATATCGTATTACCACATTCTTAACAGATTGCTTTTGATCAAAATGCGAACAATGGGCTGGCATGTGATAAGCATGAGCTATGTGGTACTCAGCAATGGCCAAAGACAATATTCTGACCCAGAGACTGACCAGAGGAACAGCTGAAAATAGTTGTACATCCTCTGATCTGCTCATCATTTCTGTTGTATGGTTTGGTTTAATGTATGTATTTTTTTTGTTTTTTTTTTTACATGTCAAGGGTAAGGGTCTATGTGCTGTTTTTAAAAAGATATATTTTTTCCAAGATTTGGACATTTCCGAAATAAAACTACACTTATATCTTGACACTTTTATTTATTCAATGGATGAAACTATTTTCTGGTCTTCCCTGTGTTGACTGTGCAGCCGGTGAACCCGCTGCCCTCAATGCAGCATTGTTGCGTCTGTGCCTTTGTAAAACACAGACACTATTATGTAGTCACTCCACTTCCTCTTCTTTCTCAGCATTCACTTCACCCGGCAGCAAGGCCCAAGAAAGAGCCTATTTGTGTGTCTGTATGTGTGTATGAAATGAGAATTAGAGCCATTTGGATTTCTGGGTCTGGTCGTTTGAGGTCAAGTTTTCTTCATGTCACCGTCAAGATCGATGGATGTGACCTCGGGCGAGTCTGATTTGTATATAAACATTGCTGAGGCCAATCAAGATGCTGCATTACACGGTGCCAGCCAATCAGAGCCTCTGGGCCTTAGCGTTTGGTGGCACTCCCCTCTTTTGTGGGTCAGGATTAGTGCCGTGGTAACTCTGATCTCAGGGGAGCGGAGGTTCCCAGAGCTGCTGGACTGGGACCACAAACACTGCTGCTGCTGGAGAGAAGTACTTCTGTCTAAGGACCAATGGGACTTTAAAGAGCACTAGGACTATATACTCCCCCCACTCAAACTATAATGAGGAGCCATTCAAAACTAGAAGTGCTCAAAATATGTACTTTGTTGTACTTCAGAAATGTCTTGAACATTTTTAAGTAAGCACGGATATCAAAAATGTCCCCAAACAATAATACTTTTTTTGGTTTTGGTTGAGGTTGCGGACTTATTCTCTATCTATGGAGATTTTTTTGGGGAGAAAGGCACTAAACGTTGGTAGCTAATTGCATTTGAAGGCAATGTCAGCAACTTAAATTGTATTTCATTTTTAAAAGAATGTATATTACTGACCATGGAACAGAAATATACAGTATACTGTTGTGTACAGTAAATCATTTTCAACAAAAATACATTTAACACAGTCCCTTGGCATATCTAAAACCAGTTAGATTTGCTGGAGGAGAATATTTAAACCAATGACGCGGTGAAGATTTTCAGAAATCTGTCTTCAAAAAGATTCACTCTCTTTTGAAAATATATGTGGTATTACTAAACATCCTAATATTTACACTTTGGAACATTACACATAAGGGAATTATTTTTTTCCACATAGAAAGTGACACTAATTCATATTGTGTAAACATTTCTGTGCAAATGAGTGCAAATGTCCAGCTCTGATGATGCATCTGTTTTTCTCTTTTTGTGAATGGTGCTGTGTGTAAGGGGCTGTCCCTGCACAGCCTGCCTGGGGGATACAGAGGCAGCGGAGTCACCCCACTCTCTGGCTCATCACTACTGACCAATCAAACCACTCCAAAAAGGCATCACCATCACTGTTTGAGAAACTCACAGCAGAGTTTAAAAATAAAATAAATAAATAACCGTCTTGAAATTGACAAGTGCTTGGGGTTCCTAAGTTTCAAGAGATACAAATGTTTAACGATGTAATAAAGTCCATTAAACTACTGTAGTTCCTTGCTCTAAAAACAGTTTGGTTGTATCACTACAGTTTTTCCACAGTTTTTTCAGACAGAAAAGACCCTCATTCAAGCCCCTCATTCAACCAGTCAGCTCTATGCTTGCCTACCTTTTTTACAAGTATGTAAAAGATAGCACGTTTTCTAATAAGAAGAAGACCAAATGTTGTGATCTTCTTTACTTTTACAAGATCCTTGTTGTTGAGCCAAACAACATGTGTTATTTGTGAAACAAAAAAGTTAGGCACCCCAGCTTTAACTTAGTTAATTTGAGCAAGACTAAAATAGAGATGTATATTTTGGAGACCAGCCAGTCTGCGAACAACAGAAAAAAAACATGCAAGTTAAACTCTGCACTTCTGGCACAGTTTCTTAAAAAACTCTATTCTGCCAAGCATGCAATAGCCAAACATTAGTTCAATCCAAGCATACATCCTGCCAGCTGTGCATGAAGCTTAGCTAAATCTGCCTACATGACACCTCCTGAAAAATTGCCAGTACAAAATCCCACCCGGGAGAAAAAAGGCTATACCAGAAGTCCCATATGAAATGAAAAGACATTAGGCCTTTCGCAATGTGACAGAAATATTTAATGATATTCTAAAAGGACAAAATTAGACTCCCAATGGTGCCATAGAGATTAAAACTCCTCTCCTGCGTGAATGCATCGCGACCCTGAAACGTTCCATTCATTTCATGGGGGCGGTACATGAGCCAGACATCAGAAGAAAGTTGACATCGTTGTCATAGTAACCTGTTTGTTGTCGTTAGTAACTGCCGTGAGACTGCGCTCCATATAGCGGCTAATTAGCATCCGTTCGCTAGCACAGCTTAAAGTCCGTTAGTTTAGTTTAGGGTGAACAATAATGGACCCAAACTCATTATTACACGTGTTTGATCTCGTAGCCAGCAGCGGTCAGACTTTGACTGTGGAAGAAAAGTCGGTTCTTTGCACTTCGCTCGTGATTTTGAAGAAGAACTACAAGTTTAATAGAGTCTTATTTTGGGGTAAAATATTAGGTTTACAAAACGACTATTATATTGCTCAAGGTCGAGGAGAAGATGAGATACAAGACCTGAAGTATCTGTACAGGTAAATCCAGTCTTTACTGATAATGGTAAAATGTCTTTAGGTTTATAATCTTTGAATGGGGAAAGGTCCCCACTAAAGGGCCTCAAATCAGGAACTACCGTAGTTAGCTAATTATCTGCATGAACTATTATGAATTCATTACATTTTATTAACTTTGTGAATAATATTTCACCCCAGTTTAAACTCCATGGAGTGGTCCCTCCTGCCTCCAGCCACAGAGTCTGTGATCCAGGAGGTGTCCAAAGCTGCCAAAGGTCGCTTTGTTGGTGAACCTTCATATGTTTATGAGCATGTTGAAGTTCTCAGAAAAGGGGAAGGTGAAGAGGCCGAATCAGAAGAATTAGTCGTATGTTATCATTTTATATTTCAAATGAATGATGTAAATCATTTTCTAAAATGCTTGTTTTCTGCTCTCTGTTACAGATTAAAGTCACAGAAGAAAAGAGATTGGCAGTGACAGTGTATCAGATTAATCAGGAGGTGTCTGTGGTTCCAAGAGGTGCCTTTATCAGAAGCCCACATGGTTTGGTGCAAGCAAACCGCAGCTTTGGGGGTAAACTCTACTAAATAGTCTAATGACACTCATTTTGTATAAATAAATAAACCACATTCGGCATGTACCAGGCCTTACTTATTCAGAAGCTGGAAAACTGGAACATTTCATGCATTTCGTCAAACAAAGGAATATGAAGAAAAGATCAATCTTGGAAATGGGAGAACTAAACCCTGTAATGGACTTTATGGACACGCTCAGTGATGATATTCCCAATGGTAAGTCTGGACATCAACATTCGAAATCTAAATGGCTTCAGTGAATTGTGGAGATAGAATTCAAATCAAAAAAGGCAGATGCTTATTTGTACATTGTCCGCTTATCAAACCACTAAATTAAGTTGCTTTCATTGTAAGAATTCTCATAAACCTTATCATCAATTTCTGATTTTCTTTCTAAAATGGCACAACTCCAATTTGTAGTTTGAAAAGAAATGCAGTTGGGAATTTAATGAAGATTTTACTGGACACAGGGATACTAGAATAGTCAAAGCCTATTGTAAAGAACTGGGAAAAATACTGACCCATCTTTTCCGAGCAAATGAGCACGGAAATTACACAGCTTTGGTCAGAACTTCTGTTTAATGAATAATTAAAGAGAGATAAAAATAGTGGTGGAGGTTACAGTTATAGGAAAAATCATATAATATAAGACATGCTAGCCAAGCCTTTTGTTTCAAATGTAGTAATCTTTGAACAAAGATATACAGATATCCATATACAGATATTATTATTACATGCCAACAGAATTCAACAGAAGAATTAGTGTTTACTTTGAGTGTATCTCAGAGTTAAATCAAAGGCGATCACTGCTGTACCACTTTTTTATTGATTACAATTGATTATTTTATTTCATATCTCAACTTCATATCAGTTATTCTGTTTTGTATCAGGAAGTGAAACTCAATAAATCATTGTAGCATAAGCACATTTAACATCTGTCAGTGACTGGGGCCTAACAAAAAAGGAGGATAGAATGTATGAGACGAGAGAGGGGTAAAATGTTTAGTGTCTGTGACTAAGCCCACCTCTTTGATTTAGTAGTGTTGCGTGTACTGTGTGTATATTTGCGTGTGTTCTCCGCTGCAGACGTTACACAGCTGTCCCAAGGCCACGCTCTGTGCAGTCTCTTTACTACTGCCTCCACAGTTTAAAACCTTTATATCCAGAGACAGTGGTTTGAACCTTCTCCTACATATGAGTTCTCCCTTATGAGTCATTTCAACGTTATATACCAAGCATGTTGACTGTTGCAGATTATGTAAACTTTATTTACACATGAAATCCCGAGGTAGATTACTGTTTTGGTAGTGCATTGTTGGCCCATGGACTGTAAAAAGGGCAAAAGCATTGATTTATTGAAGGATTTCCTGATGTGGCATGACGTGACTGCATCACATCCTTACTTCCTGTCCTTAAAAGTAAAGCCAGCACCAGACAGCTGTGTAAAGAGCGTAAGACCCCAGTGAGAATAAAACCTGAAACTGATTTGTTCCACTGTTCAAGGTAATACTAGATTTGGCCATATTGATCAATCAGGTTTTTAATTGACTAGACTTTTGAATTGCATGTTGCGTATTTGTTACTATACATTCATTATATTTTCAATCATTCTAGGTTCGTGGCATTTGCGTTTTGAATATGCCAACCACGCCTGTGTGATCCGGAGTCACCTGTGGCTGGGTCTGACTTTCTACCAAATCCCAATGACACCACAACACGGATACGTTTACATCGGGGACGGGATAAGGAACCTGTCTCTGCCGTTTATGCTCTGAACAATTCTGGGAGATTGACTTAAGTTTGATGTGTGTGTGTAAATGTATAAAATTATCCAAATGTCCTCAATCCCAATGACGCACAGACAATGTTTATATTTTATTGTTTGCAAATTTGTGAGTAGACAAAAACATCACCTACTTTAAAGGAGGTGAGCCACATTAGGTTGTGAGTGATCAAACGTCAAAGAATTCCCAAGAGCCAGCACAGACTAAATAGATGACTTTGGATGGGGTTGAGCTGCTTTATAAAAAACATTTCGTTGCATAAATACAGATGGAGATGGGGTAACAGGGCCAGAGATATTTTGAGATGACCACAGTATACGAAAAAGGTCTGTTTGTCCAACTGGTATTAACGTAATTCTGCACTGTTGTCTTGATTGTTCCAGTCCTCTTTCATTACTGTTTTATACACAAATGTTTGACACCATAGCGCACATTGTCCTTGAGCAGAGGGCTTCCTACGGGCATGGGCTTCTTATTCCACTTTAGTCCCTTTTTGTAGATGGGTTTCACTGTGTCGATTGACCAACGAGTCAAGTATCTGAAAAACAAAAATATTTGGAAGTTCTGCTTACTTTGGTGGTATTGAGTAGACATGAACTTGTTCAATAAAATTTAAATGCTACAAAACAGCATAAACAAGTGTTTGAATTACTTTATTGGCAATGACAGTGCTCCTGGAATCGTATAGTAAATACAGATGTGTATACGAGTGTAACATACCTGTTGAGTTTGGGTGCAGGTTTCTTGGTAGATGGAACATGACCTTCTGGAAGTTTGGGTTTGTGGTCCGGAAGCAGACCTGCACAGAATTCTATTAGATCCATGGAGGAGAGCTGAGGAGAGCCACACACGTAAACACAAACCTGCACGATGAGCCATCTGCACACACGCAACAATCTTACGGTGTTCCTCAGAACAGAGACCAGTGATCCTCCGCGGCAGCATCCCTCCATCTGACCTGATGAACTGACTCAGCAACAACACATCCTGACAGAAGAAAAAAAGCAAATTGGCAAAACTATCGAATTAAATGAACTAAAACAAACCCATGCAACATCTTACTGTGTAATTGTATTTATTTTGAAGATTCCATCTGTAGATGGGACATTTTGCTGCAGGGTTTGGGGGTTCTGGCGCAGGTGGTGTGTCCAGTATTTTACCTTCAAGCTGTAAAAGAAAATATTTGTTATAGAAGTTAAAATGTAGGAAACGATGAAGGCATTTTATTTTCCCTCACAGTTGTTGTGTTGCCTTCCTGTTTCTCCGCCACTGAAAATTTACATATCAAAATTTAGAGGTAAGTAATTAAATGTTCATTAGGTATTTCCACAAGTATTAAGATATGTGCGTTTATCCGTGTTCAGCAGGTCTACCAGGCTGTAGCGTTATAGACACTTACCTTGTCTTATCCCTCTGCTCTGCACCGCCAACACCGACACTACAGGTCCGTGTAAACGTGGAAGATAAGTCGCATTAAAAGTATTATTGCCCATTGCTAAACTCCTCAGAGGGCTCCAAACACTTAAAGACTGTCTTTTGCTCCACACGGAGCTCACCCAGCAGCGAGCCGCCATCTTTACGTCTGACCTTCCCTTGCGTCACTTTCTGTCCGGAAATATCGCGAGAGTAGCACACCGCCAGTACAAGTTGGAGAGGACATCTGCTCAGGTAAATCAAACTCACTCCTACAGACGTTTCATGAAACTACTGCTTCTTCTGTAATATTTCTTACTGTAGTGGGGCTGTCTGGTTCCCCACATATACAGATTAGCAAACACATTAGAAGTCATATTGCATTTGCCTGAATCATAGACAGTCTGTTTTGAGTTATTTATTTGTTTGTGAAATCGATTATTTTTCTCCTTTATGATATATTTGATGTATTGAGGAACTGTGTCTCTTGGCTGCCTGACAATAGGCTACTTGGGTTCACGTTCAAATGATTTCACCAATAAAGGATCCAAAAGACTATTGAGCTGTGATGTTGTAGAGAAAAGAAGAAACAAATATCTTGTTGATCAGGCCCCTTCATTATTAACAACACTTCTTAAGTGCATCAGACATGCCAGTACTTTAATGCAGCCTAAAAATTGTGTTTTAAGTGTCTGGCCCCATCACATGGCTTTGATATTTAAATGAAACGTGGTCTTGAACAAACAGGTCCCAGAGCTGAGGAAGAGCAAGAGAGTAAATCAGATAGGATTTCCCCACATGAAAAGAAGTTGTCTGACATTTTCACAGCCAGCACCGGGGGGACACTGAGCCAATGTTGCTTCGATGTCATGGTGGGGAAGTTATTGCTCTGTGGAAAAGGTTAGCGTCTTCACCCTTGATTTTCCCTAAATAAACTGCTCAAACACAGCGTGGCGCAAGGAACCAAGTGAAGATAAGTGTCCACAGTCGCATTACCCAAAAACAAATCTCACTCAGGCCGTCTACATTCCACTTTTATTGTCACACAGCTTGGTTTGTTTTGTCTTTAATGTTTGGCTGCGCACTGCATGGCCCCTGATGATATCAACTACTCAAGGGCCTGAACATTGAAAGGCCTGCAAGAGAGAGAGACATTAGCAGATCATGGGATACACATATTATAACTATTCATATGATTGGCATTATCTGGTTCTTGCTGAGATTTGTCTGAAGTTGCTGGCATCTCAAATTGATGGGTGCAGTCTGGTATGCAATTAAGACATAGCTGTCACTAAGAGGCTTTCCTGGGTGATTAACTTGTGAGCATCTAAAGAAGTCAACTGAACACAATTAGCTTATTTTAAGGGCTGGTGTGTGCTCTAATTCTTCAGAACTGGTTATAGATGTGTAACAGAACAGAATGTGACAAGTAGAAGAGATAACCCAGCTTCATTGATCGGTCAGACAAGCCAACAGTGCATATTTCTGAGCATCTACCCTCATTTGATTTGCAGAATAGCTTAAATCTTCAACCCCCTACAACTTCATAAAGCCTTCTCAGTTGCTGCACCCTCCCTGGACTCATTTTGGGGGAGTTTGTGCTAAATGACATTGGCTGCTTCAACATGTGCTTCTCTTTGAAGAGGCTCTTATCCTGGTTTTCCCTCAGCTTGGCTGCTACAAGAGCGTCGGCTTCTATTCCCCTCGATCCTCTCACGTATGCATCCACTCCACTGAATCTGTCTTTCTCGTCTGCGTGCTTATGTCTGACAGGCAGCCCTTGGAGTAACTTAAATTTTCATGCAGGTTGTGTTGCCGCTGGGACAATAGATCCAAAGGCTCCGGAGTGGCCCTCTTCAAATGTTTTAAAACATTTTGTACTCCGGTCATGCTTTTTGTGCACAGTAGGATGCAGTTTGTTTTAGTTTGGGGCTAAGCTACCTCCTGAGGTCCAGTCTCCTCCATAGATAAGATGTTTGCCTGACCTCTTAAAGGGTCACCCCCAGTGGTTTGTAATAAGGAAGTGAGCTAATTCACAGTGGAATAACAGAGCACGGCCCAAGTACAACTGAAGTTGTAAATATGCCTTTTGTATCAATATTTTATCATTCTGCAGTCAAGTGATGCAAGAGCAGTCTTTACAAACTGAACAAACACAAAGGCTTTTTTATGAAGCCTTATGACTTTGTGATTTTGAAACCTACAACAAACTAGTTATATGACTTTAATTGAGGATTTGGTAACTAGGAATTCATAACATAAAATTTCCAACGTATTTTTTTCCCCATATTGATTCTGTATTGGAGCATAAAGCATTTCTTTTGGTTATTGAATTTTTCAAGGCAGTCCTACTGTTGTTTTAACTCTTTTTGTTTTAACTATTTCTTTTCAAGCTTTTCTGAGTTAAAAAAAAATATGCTAGACCACTGCAGTGTCTTTATTTTCTTGAATGAATGAATTCAAATGACCCCTCTAGCACCTGTGAGGTCAAATGGCAGCTATTTTCACACTGACACCTAAATCAAACCGTTGTTCCTCTTATACATTACAGATTCTCACTGGGATTTACAACCTTGGTCTCTTTTGGACAATGCATCTGGTTCAAATAAAGTCCTCTAGTTTCACCTGCAGGGGTCCAGGCATAAAACGGCCTGGTGATTCATACACGCTTTGTCGTTGTGAAAACTGGATACATTGAACATGACCCATGTGAGTTTATCCCTGCGCTGATTTGTGAAGCACAAGTTTCACTGACTCCCATTAACTTCTGGAGAGTGGCGGTTTCCATGGACACCGGAGGCATTCACACGGACCAGATGGACCTCTGTTGACAATTCTCGCTCGGGTAAACTTGTTCACATTTTTGTTTTCTTTTGTGATGTAATATCAACGAATGATAGTCTTTCGGTTAATTGAATTTTTTTATTATTTGGACAACTGTCTAGATGTTGGATACTAAAATAAATAATGTTAATATAAATAATTGATGTGGTATCAAGGTCAGTACACCATTGGAAAATCTCAAAACTTTAAAATGACAAGTCTATTTGCAATTCTTATGCATTGTAAGCTGTAATGATAGTAACTGATCAAATTTCAACACTCTTTGATGAAGGGCAAAATGTTTCTGTAAAACATAATTTAAAATACTGTATTCCCTGCTGCATTATTCTTGTTTTCAGCACTTTATGACTTTCTCTGGCTCAGCTGCATCCTTATGTTCTTTCCTGTGACCACTTTACAGAAATATATCTCCACATGCAACATCTGACCTTGTGTCATTTTATAGATGAAGCTTCTCCGGTCCGTCTAGGTCATAACATCTCCCTGATATCTCATATATTTCCTCACACACATCCTTATCACCTCCCTAAAAATGACAGAGGCGTTCACGTCAAATTCTGTTGGGAAACCAAACCATTACTCTTTTTATCAGCAGGCCTGTATACGTCACGTAACTCAACATTGCGAGTGAATGTAAACCATTTTAGCCCCCTATTTCAAAGTTTGTTCAAGAAGTTGCTCCAGTTGCACGTTTATGCTGAAATCTTCTGTGGATAGGAGCGTTTGGGTCGTTGTAAGTTCAGCTGTGTGTCAGTTTGTGCAGTGGGGAAAGTGAGCTGTGTACGTTCAGCTTCTTGTATCCATATTCTTGATAAAAACCACACCTACCTTGTAAAAGAAAAAGTTAATGTCACCAAGTTCAGCCTGCTTTCTTATTAGTCTGTCGCCTTCTTTCAAGCCCTGTAGAGAGTGAGAAAAGAAAGGTGATGAGACTGACAAGTGCACCATCTGTTCTGAGACAGGTGAGGCCAGCAGGGGGCAGTGGTGATTCTCAGGTGGGTCTGATCACTGGACTGAGTGCTTGTACCAAGGACAATATACAGTAAAAACAGTATATGTACATGTCAGTGGAAGGTGCTCTGTGGTGGACAGTGTTATAGTCTCATTGTAGTCTTCTAGAGTTCCTGGCCTGTAAGTATGTGGTTGTCTTTTCAGACTTGGGTGTGCCTTCAAAGTCAAACTGAGCAAATATTTGTATTTCACTATATTAAACATGAGAGCTGTAGCCCTGAAGAATACTTTACAGAATACTGTGGTGCCCTAGACTTTCATTATGACTATGATTTTCATAATATTCGGAATATATTCGGAATATTGAGTGGAATTAATATATTATAAAAAAATTCATAAAGAGCAGCGTTTTTCTCATAAATTCCATGCAGTAGGTGCCCTGAACGTACGCTAACCTTTTGCTCAGGTCCCCTTTGAAAAACATGTTAAAATGGATATTTACCTGGTTAAATACTTTTAACAGACACAGAGTCGGCACAGTTTTTGTGCATTGTGTAAGCTGCTACTGTAGCCACAGCTGCCCCAGGCAGACTGATTGAAGTGGAGCTTCCAGACAGAGTGTGGCATCGCCAACTCTCCGTCCAGCCACTCTCATACGTCCAATACATGATGGACTACAATCCGCTGTCAATTTTACTAGGGATGCACCAATACCACTTTTTTTCAAAACCGATACGAGTATGAGTACCTTAATTTGAGTATTTGCCAATATCGAATACCGAAACAAGTACTGCGTAGTGTTATCCCTGGGAATTCATAAAACTAATACAATTGAAGTTTCAAATTTCAAAATTAACTCACTGACTGCCAGGCATTTTCAGATTTGAGAAGTGCATTCTGCCAGCAATTTCAGGTGATTTGACCCAACTTTGAAGTGCCACAGAATATTCATTTTTTAGACGATGTAAACACCAAGGGCACCAAATTAAAGATTCACCTCTCTGCTTTACTCTGAAAAAAACAGTTTGTTTCTACCTCTTACCGTTCTTGCGTTATTTGCCATAGAACAAAGCATACTTTCACCCATAACACCTGGTCTGAGCAAGAAAACAGAGAAAACGAGCTGTATGTAAACAGGAACATATCAAGCAGAAAAGAGACTTTTAGATGCATTTTTGCTGCTTTAGTGACAACTCAAAACATCTTCACACTTGTTCCATTACAAACATTATAAAAACATGACTCTGAAATAATACTTTTGATGGCAAATTGTTGGCAATTTATTCACAGATAGAAAATTTAACTTTCTTCTATACCATCAACCAAAACGTCAAACAACAACAACACAAAGATCAATAAAACTATA